TGTTTATTTGAGGAAATTGGTGGGGTACTTTTCTTTTTTCTCTTTTTTTTTTGGCGCTAAATTGTGCTAAATGAGTAGGGTACGGTTCTCTTAATTTCGTGGGGATGGGTCCGTTACTCATGCATAACCCTATGGAAATTTCTCTTCACGTACTCATGACCACGTGCGTATATTCTCTACGTTTACATAACTCACATTCACCACATTACAACTTTTTTTAAAATAGAAAACATAAACCAAGACATGAAAGTGTTATACAAACACCAATCCATACACATGGTTTTTACTACAAGAAACACATTATCGACAAATCATTAATTCCATCAATAAATTCAAATAAAAAAATAATATGTAACGAACTTCATAAACAGAAAACACCCAAAATGTCGACTCTTGAATAGATCCTCTATAATTGATAAAAAAAAATTTGATCAACCAATGTCAAAAAACTTATAACACAAAGGACGAAAAGTACAATAAAATCAAGCACCATAAACGGCAAACACTAAAAATTAAACACATTTATGGACTCTTTGACAGGTCTGCTATAGTTGATAAAAAAACTCGATCAATCGATGTTTAGAAACCTGTAGCACGAAGGCCACACAAAAGCCGTAAAGAAATATATCTTGCAGATGAAAAAGACAATTAAACACTAAGCAACCAAGAAACTAACAAAAACTAAGGACCACCATTATTACAAACGAAAGATTAAAACAAAAAAAGGGCAGAACATTAAAACACAAAATAGTGCAATCCTCTCAAAACATGTACAGACCACAACAACAAGTCGACATGTATACCACAAGAGGGCTCAACTCTCCAAACATACAAAAATCTCTATAGAATAAATTGAGACTAAAACCGGCACGCCGAAAACCGCCTCACGATTGATGTCGATTCCATCTTTACCTCAAATTCTATCCAGTAATCCTCCTTCAGGCAGTGGCAGAGTCAGGATTTTAATTTAGGGGCATAGGCTAAAAACATGAAAAGTCTTTTCAAACCTTCAAATTATTAACTCTTAATACCATTACATAGTTTGAAGGACATAAATATTTAATTTGTTGAATTGTGATAATAGAATTTTCATAAAAGATTAGTTTTAACCTAATTTATTATTCTCTTATGCACATAGTTTAGTGAAGAAAATAAAGTAGAACAATTAATGAAAATCAGATTGATGTGACAAATTTAAAAATAAACTATTTAGGAGGTACGTAAGTGGAAATAATATTTGAAAATGATGTATGAGAAAAGATGTTTAGGTAGAGATATTTTAAAAATGATTTCGGTAGGGCAATTTTGAAAAAAAGTATATAATATGCCACATTTTTAAAGATATGGTATTAAAGAACTATAAGAACGTATGGAAAATAATATTTTAAGTAAGGATACATTTAAAAAAGGAAAAATCACTTCAAGATGGGCAAATAAATCATAAAGAAATTTTTTTTAGTAAAGATATATTTTAAAAAAGATTAATAGGAATAAATTAGAGAAAAATTTTGTTAATGAGGAGGTATGTATAAGATCTTATGATTTAGCAGGCATATATAAAAAATTAAAAAAAAACTAAATACAAGAAAACAAATTTTTAAAAATGTTGGGGAGCATATATTAAAAATTTTGAAAAACTCTATGTAAGAAGACAAATTTTTAAAAATTCAGGGAGGCATAACGTCTCTCCGCCACAGCCTCCGGGGGGGGGGGGGGGGGGGGGGTACCAACCACGTATAATTCAACGTTAAAAATTTCAAACCGTCAAAAACATTGATCACCCTTTTCTAAAAGAATGACGTTTCAATAATGAAACTATGAACATTACAACTTATTATACTTTGTGCCGTTGTAAGGAGTGAAATTGAAACAACTACTGTTATGTTGGGTGAAATTTGAAAAAAAAAAAAAAAACCCTAGATTTTTTGTAATAATTATTAGGAGATTTTTATGGTAAGACATACAAAAAGGTAGTACTTATAGAGTACATTTTGAGCCGTCATAGCTATATAAAAATTATCTCCTTTACATATTTTTGTTGTTTAATGTGATTTTAACTATCTACAATTCTTTCCTTCACTTACCCTTGAAATTTTTTATTTGAAATAATTACACAATATTTCTTCAAAAATTACAATTATATCTCAAGTTTTAATTTTAAGTATTCATATTTCAAATTTAAAATCTCGCATAAATTAAAAATCAAGATTATAAATTCACAATTTTTTGGACTCTAAAAAATTGAATTAAACTCAAAATTCCAAGCTTAATTTATTTAGAGGAAAAATTGAGATACAAATAAATAAATAAAAGTAAAAATTATTATATTATAGTTTGAATTGAAAATTTGCATATTAATTCAATTTATGTCCCTTAAAAAAAGAAATTCTCTAGTATTTTTTATTTTTTAGACACCAACATTCTCTGGGCTCGTTTAGTTCGTTGATTCGAATTTTTAATTCGAGTTGAGATGTGATTTTATGTGAGAGCTTTTTATTGTAGCAAAAAAGTTAGATGTGACTGTTTGTGAGAACTTTTTACTGTAGCAAAACTCGAATTTTAAACTCGAATCAGCGAAATGAACGGAGCCTCTATTTATCAACTGTATTATTTTTTAATTTAATTTAATTTTTAATCAAATTTAATACATATTTAAAGATTAATAAATAAAAAATATCGGTGTTTTGAAAAAAAAAATAAACACTAAAATTTTTTTTAACACGATCTTATTGCAGAAAGACCCTAATTATTTAGCGTTAAATAGCACATGATAAAGTGCGAATATAAAATTAGCTGTCGGCGTAAAAATCTCGGTCCCATATTCTCAACTAGTATCGAAACAGAGCAAAGAGGAATCGAAATAGAACCCAAAATACTTAAACAAATCACGTGGTGGTCCCACCGTAGGCCCCACCGCGTGTATCCACAGAAGACGTCAGTCATCACATCACATCCAGTTGGCTCCAAACGTGTCAAAAGGCCAATACGTCTACTTGCCACCATGTCATCAAGAAATGAACCCACCACACTTTGTAACCGTTGCTGTTATGTTATTTTAAAACTTTGACTTTTCTCATCATGAATTTATAGCATGTGACTCCCTCACTAAAATTAAACATTCGTTTAGTTTGATGATTTAAATTTTTAATTTGAGTTAAAATGTGATTTTATATAAGAATTTTTTACTATAATAAAAAAATTAAATGTGATAGTTTTTAAAAATTTTTAACTGTAATAAAACTCAAATTGGTGAAAATGAACAGGCTCGATTCGAGTTTTGCCACAATAAAAAGCTCTCAGAAATAGTCACATTTAACTTTTTTGCTATAATAAAAAAAACTCTCACATAAAATTACATCTCAATTCAAATTAAAAACTTAAATCAACGAACTAAACAGACCCTAAAAATTTTTAATTTTTTCTTTCAAATTTGTTCCATGTGTATTCACTGAATTTTTTTCTTTTTAAAATTTAAAAGATTTAAACTCGTCACCTTATAAATCGTTAAGTTAGGTTTATAATCACTATATATTGATAAACATATGTTGAATCAGTTTTTTCTTTTTTTTTATTGATTAATATATGGAGAAATGGTCAAAAAGATTAAATGAAATATATTACTTTTTTTTTTTGAAACTAACGAAATGAATTATTTGCATAACATCTGAAAGGAAAAATTAATAAGTAAAGAAGGAGGCGTCAAATAAGGTGATTATAGATTAAGTTTAACAACAAATTTACAAGATTTGAAATTTGAATTCTCTAATGTTCACAAAATACAAAAAAGAGAAAAAACGAAAAAAAATTGTGTTCATCAAGTTTGAGACTGATAGATCATAACATATTTTATTAAAGATAAAGAGATCACAATATTGAACTTACCCCTTCAAAAGATAAATAGGCTTACACAAATTGTATTTTGAAATTTAATATATAGACTAATTGTATTTTGAGAATTTAATATATATGTACATTTACATATATATCAATTATTTTCCTCTATATATATAAATGAATTTATTGTTATTTATAAAAATAAAAATTTAAAAATGTGATGTGATTAGAATCTAATTTTATTAATTGTAACAAAATTATTACTTAATAGTGTTCCACATAATTATTTAATAAAATAAATTATTGCTTGATGGTGTTGGACCTAATTATTTAATAATATTGTATAACATTATGTACGTTATAATACTTTAACAATAGGCATAAATAACAACATTTATCTTATTCTTAAATAGGGATGGTAATTCGTGTTAATGGCTCGTATTCATGTTAACTCATTTATTAATTGTGTTAGAAAATATCAATATAAATATATTAAACGTGTCAAAAATATCAATCCAAAGACGATTCATTTATTGATCATGTTAATCGATTAACCCGCATAATCCGTTTAAATGAATGTATTGAATAAATAACTAATATAATAATGACTTATTTAACACGATCATGACAGATTTAACATGTTTATTGATAAATTTATCTTTTCTTTTAAGAACAATAAATGAATTTTACGTACAAATATTAAAATTCATATTATTTGTATTTAATATGTCGTATAAAATTTCATGTTATATCACATATCATTAGATTGTAGATGACACATATAGTTAATTGTATTAATTCGTGTCATTTTGTATTAAGAGATCAATCATAATTTAACTCGTTTATTAATCGTGTTAATCGTATCAAACTGTTTATAATTTAAATTCATTTATAATAAATCTAAACTTATTAATTTTATGTGAATTTTAATCGTATTTCGTATCATGACTCAAATTGCCGACTCTAATCTTAAAGGACTAAAAAGCCAACGGTGATGTATGCTATATCGGTTTTTTTTTTTTTTTTTTTTTTTTTTTTTTTGGCGCTCTCTCATATCAAATTTATGTAGTTCCCAAGTTTATCTTACCATGGACCTAACTACACCCGATTCGCTTTTCAACTACTTTTTAAAGTTTCTAACGAAGCTGCCTAGCTCACCACACTACACTACTACACTTCACCGTGTCTCTCCATCTTTCTCTCTCTCTCTCTCTCTCTCTCTCTCTCTCTCTCTTTCCTTTTCCCAAATGCCTTCTCTTCATTTTCTCCAATGTCTTCCGTTTCTAATCCTCGTAATACTTCACTTCATTTTCCTCGCACGTGCACAGCTACCCGGCACGTGGGAAATTCTGGTAGAGAACGCCGGCATAGCTTCCATGCACACCGCCGTCACGCGCTTCAACACCGTCGTCCTCCTTGACCGGACTAACATCGGTCCGAGCCGGAAACTTCTCCGCAAAGGCCACTGCCGGTCCGACCGGAACGACGCCGTTTTAAAGCACGATTGCTACGCCCACTCGGTGTTACTAGATCTCGCCACCAACCAAATCCGGCCGTTGATGATCCTCACCGACACGTGGTGCTCATCGGGGCAGTTCCTCCCCAACGGCACGCTTCTCCAGACCGGCGGCGACTTGGACGGCTTTAATAAGATCCGGAAGTTCGACCCCTGCGAGCCCAACGGGTCCTGCGATTGGGTCGAGCTCGATGACGTGGCGTTGATCGACGGTAGGTGGTACGCGACGAATCAAATTCTGCCAGATGGATCGGTCATCATTGTCGGCGGTAGAGCCGCCAACACAGTGGAGTATTTCCCACCGAGAAAAAACGGCGCCGTTTCGATCCCGTTTCTGGCCGAAGCTGAGGATAATCAGATGGACAATCTCTACCCTTACGTTCATCTCCTCCCCAACGGACACCTTTTCATTTTCGCCAACGACAGGGCGGTGATGTACGATTATGACAGTAACAAGGTCATGATGAAATACCCACCGTTGGATGGGGGTCCGAGGAATTACCCGTCGGCGGGGTCTTCGGCGATGCTTGCGTTGGAAGGGGACTATTCGACGGCTGTAATTGTTGTGTGCGGTGGGGCCAAATATGGCGCGTTTATTGAGAGGAGTACGGATACTCCGGCGCACGGTAGCTGCGGACGGATAGTCGCCACCGGACCCGACCGGGTTTGGGAAATGGAGGACATGGCTTTTGGTCGGATCATGGGCGATATGGTCATGCTTCCTACGGGTGACGTGTTGGTTATAAATGGGGCTCAAGCGGGTACCCAAGGGTTTGAGTTGGCATCCGCCCCGTGTTTGTACCCGCTTCTTTACCGACCTGATCAGCCGGGTGGGTTGCGGTTCATGACATTGACCCCGGGTACGGTGCCGAGGATGTACCACTCGACAGCTAACTTGTTGCCGGACGGGCGGGTACTAGTGGCGGGTAGTAACCCGCACGTCTTCTACAAATTTGAGGTGGAATTCCCTACGGAGTTGCGAGTGGAGGCGTTTTCGCCGGAGTACTTGTCCCCGGATCGGGCAAATCTCCGACCCGTTATTGAGGGGATTCCGGAGACGGTGCGTTATGGTGAGGCATTTGATGTAGTGGTTTCGGTTCCCTTGCCTGTTGTAGGGATTGTGGAGGTGAATTTAGGAAGTGCGCCATTTGCCACGCACTCGTTTTCGCAGGGTCAACGCCTGGTCAAACTAGCCGTTACTCCCACCGCTCCTGCCGGAGACGGCCGGTACAAGATTTCTTGTACGGCACCGCCTAGCGGCAGGGTTGCTCCGCCGGGCTATTACATGGCTTTTGCGGTCAATCAGGGCGTGCCAAGTGTCGCCCGCTGGATACATTTGGTGTCTTAATTCTTTTCCTTTTCGTTTGTAATAATTTGTTCCAAAACTCCCATCTAGAATTTTGTATGATTGTGTAGAAGATTAGGTGTCACGGGTGTTATTCAATTCTGTAACTGTGGACAGGGAAAAAGAGGTGTTTTGATTTTATGGAATTGAAATTGGGTAAAGCTTGATAAATGACAAACGCCCAAGTATTATTTTTATTGATTAGGCTCTAAATTGACACATTCAAAGTAGCACTCAAGTCTAAGCCTTCCTTGACAAGATTTATTGATGTGAATTCACTTGAGCCATAAGCTACAATAATCAGATATATAGTGGGGCATACAGTTTATATAGTTTATTTCTTCTTTTATAGTCAGAATTGGATATAATCGGCTGCCTCAGCCTTCATATTCTATCAATCTTCTGGATAAGTTATGATATATCAATTTGAATAGATTTCAGTGTGTAAAAGCAATGGTAATTGGTCCATTAGCAAATAGTAATCAGAGCAAAAGAAACAGAATATTGTGTTGCTTAGTGGTCTCTCATGTCCTTGTCCCCCAAAAATGCTAATGCAAACAACAAAGGTACTTTTCAACGCGGGGATGGACACTAGACACCAATCAATAACAGAAGAATAGGCATCAAAAATTGTTTTTCCCACTTTTTAATTGTCTTAAAATGTTCTTTTTCAGTCTTTTCACAAATTTATACAAAATTGTTCACTTTTGTAAGACGACAGGAAAATTTGGAATGGTGGAATAAATAGGACCCAGATAATGGAAAGAACCACTTTAAACTAGCAAGCCCTTCAGTGCACATGAGAATATTCCCAGCAATCAGAACAACTTAACTTAAAGGACTGTATATATATTGAAAAAAAAAAAAAAAAAGTTTCCAGAGAGGAAAGAAATTACTAAAAGAAAGCATCAAGCTTTGTTTAGTGGGCATTCTAGTTGTTGATTCGACATCATAAATGATGCAGAAAGTGATTCATGCGTTAACAAGTTCACATGCCTTGCAAGTTGCAACTAATAAAAATTGCTGAGGTCCTCTAAGACATCAAATGCACACATGATTTACAGATTCGAAGACATGTTTCTAATACCTACAACAACACTGTGTTGGAATTTGATCATTTTAATCTTTCTTCTAGACTCACTTAAAAGCTTTAAAATGATATAATAAACCTATAGCAAATCCAAACATATATAATTTATAAAGATTAAGCTCAAACTGTCAAGCCATTGAGCTTTTATCGCCATCACCTTCATAGCAATCAGCCACAGCAACCTTCTGCACATTCTTATAAGAGTATCGCCGCGCCAAGAGCACGTAAAAGAACAAGTTCACGGTGGTCATGGCGGCCAACAGCCAGTAGAACTTGTCCAATCTGCTACTATTCAAATCCTTGCCAAACCAACTCTTCCCGCTCTTCTCCGTAACATGGTCAACGATCGTTATCAAAAGGCTGCTGATGAAATTTGCCGCTCCGATCACGCTCAGATAAAACGCGATCCCTAAGCTTCTCATCGAATCGGGAACTTGGTCATAAAAGTACTCCTGCAATCCCACCAAGGCAAACCCGTCTCCGAAACCAACGATCACAAACTGCGGCGCGAGCCAGAAGACGCTCATTGGCTTCCAACCCTTCGTTCCGGCATTTTCTCGAACATCTTCCAGACGTTTTTTCTCGACCAAAGCCGAGACCACCATTGTGACGGCAGAGAAGAACATTCCAATCCCGATCCTCTGGAGGATGTTGATCCCTCGCTCGTTTCCCGTTAACTTTCTCAGCAACGGCACTAGGAGCTTCTCGTAGAGGGTGACGGAGACGATCATTCCGAGGGCGGCGAGAGCGAAGATCGAGGCCGGAGGGATCTCGAAGCCATTGGCGATCTTTCTGTCCATGGTGACGCCTTGCTTGATGAAGAATGTGGAGCCTTGAGCCACGCAAATCCCGAAAGGAATGGCGGCTATCCAAATGGGTATCATGTTGAGGATGAGCTTCATCTCCTCCACTTTTGTCACTGTTGCTAGCCTCCATGGGCTTTCTTTGTTTGTTGAGTTTCCTGTGTTGTGTTGTTCTATGATGGCTGCTTTGTCAAGAAACCTGAAAATGACCAAATACGTAAGACCACCAAATGTTATTCTTCCTACTCAAACAAGGATTTATATGATTGGTGACAAGTGCACTAGAATTTCATTATGAGACTCATATAGTTTTTTGTTAGATGATGCTTTTATTTATATCCCGTTTCCACACTAGATAGTGACATTACATATCAAATATCATCAAAGATGATAAATAATAATGTTACATCACATTATGTGACTCTACTATGATATCTTATCTTTTATTATGTGGGTTCTTACGTATTAAATGTCACTTATGCAGTGACATCTGACAGAAATAAATAGTATCAATGCTGCCACAAAAAAAAAAATTATAATAGACATTTATATTGGTCAGCGTGCATATGTTGATGTGTGTGTAAGGGTGACAATTCGTGTTAGTGAGTCGTGTTCGTGTCAATCCGTTTATTAATCGTGTCAGAAAATATTAATTTAAACACAAAGGAATCTTTCTCTTTTTTTTTTTTTTTCAATTAAAATGCAGGTTTTAAGTTGAGCTCCACAAGGGAATCTTTATGTGGTCGTTTGACTAGTAACAATAGAACTTTCAACAAAAAACGATATATATAGAGTCCGTTTAGTTCGTTGATTTAAATTTTTAATTCGAGTTGAGATATAATTTTATGTGAGAGCGTGACTGTTTATGAGAGCTTTTTACTGTAACAAAATTTGAATTCTAAACTCGAATCGATAGCTCTCGTATTGGAATAGTGTGGATGTGAGAGATTTACTTACATGAGCTTCTTAGTGTGGCACAGAGGCCTGCCATTGACTTTCTCAAACTTGGGCACTTCATACAACTGCTCAGCAGGATTGGAAGGGAATGGCAGGTTCCTCTTCCTAATGGCCGCTACAAGAACTTGCAGCATTGGCGTCAAAGGGCTTCCTGTCGGCCTCCGGTAACGATAAACCGGCCTTCCAATTATGAAAATAGCCATTGAAACGGCCATAACTGCCGTGAGAACAATGTCAGCAACGCCCCAGCTCACATGGTCTTGCAAATACACAATCACAGTGACGCCAAGTAGGAGTCCGCAGCAAAGGCCAGAGTTCCACCAGTTGAAGTATGACATCTTTTGCCTTCTCTCTTTGGGGTCTTCGTCGTCGAATTGGTCGGCGCCGAAGCTCTCTAGAGCCGGTTTGTGGCCGCCGGTTCCAATGGAGACCAAGTATATGGCAAGGAAGAATATGACTTCATGGATTTTCTTAGGTTGTTGGCATGGTTCAGCGTCACATGGCTTTAGGCTTGGTACAAACCATGACATGGTCAGTAGAATTAAGCCCTGCAATTTTATTTTTTTTGCCCCACCAAATCAAACAAGAATTTCGTTAATTGAGCAAAGAAAAACTAGAAGTTATAAGGGAAATATCTGGTATCTTATAGTTTTCGACTTTGTCTACTTGATACTCACATGTTTCGATTGAGATTTTTCACACTAAAGGTACCGATTTGATAAAGTGTTAAACTACATGATACTTGAAGTATATTTTTCCAAGAATTATATTAAGATTAAAGACTTTTCTTTGGTGAATTATAAAAGCAATTAACATTTCTAAGAGTCTTATGAAGGGTGTAATTTGCTATCAATTACTGTTAATACGGCGATATCTCTACGGAATATATATATATATATATATATATATATAAATATTTGATGTTAATGGGCTAAGCTGGCCATTCTAAAGGGGTAGTGGATCGGTCCACTTTCCAACAAACCAAAACAAAACTCTTGGGCCAGTCCACCAGCCCACTTATTTTGGAGGTCTCATCAGGACCAGAACAGTTCTGGGTCAGGTGAGGCTCTGTTCGTTCAGCAAATGGGTGGGTTGAGCTGGCTTAACAGTACTGGTTTCTACGCCAAAAAAAAAAGAAGCTCAAACCACTCATAAAAATTAAACTAAAAAACTCTCCAAACTGCTCAATAATTTAAAAATAATTGACAATTTGACACGGTTTGATTTGGATTTGGGCGGTATTAGGGGTTTGACAGATTTTTTGAACACTCATAATTTAAAATTAGAGAGCGATCGTTTTGGCAGTCTGGCGGATTTTTTAAACACCCATGATCTAAAATTAGAGCACGATTATGGAAACTTAGTGATAATTACAATTTAAAATAGAAACAAGGTAAAGTTTAACATGGGATTAATTACCATAATGTAGACTACAGTGGAAGCAAGCACTGTAGAGAAGCGACCCAAGTAAGAATCAGCAATGAACCCTCCAAATAATGGCATCAATGTGGTAACACCAGACCAATAGTTGACACTCCTTGCTGCTGTTTTGAGGTCTTCATGTATAACCTTAGTTAAGTATATGATTAAGCTTGTAGCTATCCCAAAGTAACTCAACCTCTCACTAAACTCAATTGCTGCAAATTAAAAGGTTCTGATTAAATTATATTCATATAAACTCAGGCCTCGTTCACTTCGCGGATTCGAGTTTTCAATTCGAGTTGAGATGTGACATTTTCTGAGTTTTTTACTGTAACAGAAAAAGTTAGGCGTGACATTTTCTGAGAACTTTTTACTGTAGACACTTAAAACTGAAAACTCGAATCGATGAAGTAAACAAGGCCTCAACAATTCACGCTAATAAAACAAAAGGAAGGAAATGGAACTATATATATATATTTATATATGTATATGTGTATATATATATATATGCATGCATGCATGTATCAATAATTAAACTATTTAATCATGTATGTAGATGACCAAATTAACCAAAGACTAGAGGCGTATATATTGCTGTCAATTTTTAATTTTCAAACAAAATGATTACATGTTCGGCTTTTTTTTTTTTCTTTTTTTCTTTTTCCCTCCGACACCATATTCACTTTTTTACTTTTTCTATTTTTTTTTGCCTGCGACCACCGAAGCATTTTTAGCCTTCTTTTTTCGGCATATGAAAACAATTTGTGATGAGTGGTCGCTTTTAGTTGTCACTTGTACTATATAATCAACTATGCGCACATCAGTAGTGCTTTATTTATTTATTTATTATTATTTTTTTAATATCAAATAATGGTTGTACAGTTTGACCCAGAATGTTGTGCAGATACGGTGGTCAGTATTTATAACCTCGTATGTGCATGGGTAGTGTACAAATGGAGAGTGATGTCATAATATTGCCATATTTTAAATATATTAAAAGAGAAAAAAATTAAGTGACAAAAAATTTGAATTGTAATTAAAACCTATAAAATAAAGTCATGGTGAGAATATCGACTAATTAGGGGCACTGAATAGAAAATGTCTTCACATTTAAGTATATATAAATAAGCAAAATCTTTCATACATAAATTATCTAATTACATCTTTCATTTAATTTCATTTGTTTAATTTATCATTGAAGCTATTTTAGTTGACTTTTATATGGTCCTCAACCCCCCACTATATATATATATACACACACACACACACACACATATGTATACGACACACTGATTTCTTAGTGTTTATGAAAAGAGAGTCCACTATGTATATATAGGTCAAAAACAATTTGAGAGAGAAGTATACAATTGTATGGTGTGAATTATGTCATTTTTTTAATATATATATATATATGTATATATATTGGACTGTAATAAATATTAAGATTGTCCTTAGTTGTTTAGAATGATAATAGACTGATCAAGAAGATAAAGCAAAGAGTTTTGTCTAATAAAATTAATACAACATTCATAAAATCTATTTCGACTCAAGAATATTACTGATAGAGAACACGATTAGAATTTTATTAGAATTAGAGTTATTTTATTTAATATTTATCTATCAGAATCATTTGAGTTCTCGGTCCTACATCAATTGCATCATTCTTTCATCTTCCACATCTATTATTATCCACTATATATAATTAGTTACCCATTTCTTATCACACGAATGCCATTTGTCTCTTCTCTCTCTGTTTTTTTTTTTTTTGGTGAACAACATAATATTCAAAGGAAAAAACAAAAAAAACGAGACCAAAGAAATTATCCGAAGAGAACAAGTAGACAATGTTCAAGTCGTGATCATGTTTTAAGCGTGCACCTTCTTGTTTGCTTGTGTAGGATATAAGACACGTATAGATTCATAAATACTTATATATACACCTATAGATACATATATATAACTTTAATATATATATATATACATACGTATGTTTATATATGTATATGTGGGTGTTGTTTGGCAGTCGCAAGGGGCCAATATTATGTGGGAACATTCTCACATGCAAAGTACTAAAAGAGGTCCCTTCGCCAAGTTGCACCATTACGTTACGTCGTAGCATCTGTTCTTTTCCATCTACAATCTCCTTTACAGCCCATCCATTATATATACAAAGTTCAAACATTCCAAAACATTTGTACGACATTTTATTGTCCCTTATACCCCTATCCAAGGTTTATTAATGAATATAAATAAATCTTTATAAATAAAAGAAGACATTGATAAATCTTTTTTTAGGACTATAATATAAATATATATTTTAAAAAATTAATAATAAATCTTTTTACGACTAGCAAAAAAAAAAAAAAAAAAAAAAAAAAAAAAAAAACTACAAAAGACTGCTTTCATATAACGTCAGTCAACAGTCAATCGCACTTTCTCAAAAAAATAAAAAGAAAGGGGGGAAAAAAAAAACATTAGTTAACTAACCTTCATTTAAATTAATTTTAAAATTATTGTAACGTACAACAACGCTATCTATGTTTTGCCTCAGCTAGATAGACTACTGATATTTAGTCAAACATTTTAAAATAAAGGGAAAAAAAAAAAGGATTCTGTACCGATATTTTAAAAGGGTTGTTGGATATTTGGTTTGTATATATCTCTTGCCTACTTATGTTTATCCATAACGTTTCCTACATGCTTTCACCCAAAAAATTTGTAAAAAATGTCTTCCTCTTTTTTTTTTTTTTTTTTTTTTAAAATATTTATATATGCAGTTTTAGGAAAGCTTAAAAGCAACGCAAATGAACGAGAAAAAAAAGTACACAAACTGAATATAAGCATATATATATATATATTTGTGTGTGTGAGAAGTTACTTGTATATAATCACAATAGTAGAGCTTAAAAAAGCTGTGGATACTAGCAAATAATTACTTAAATATCAATTTAGCAAGTTCCCAAAGGAAAAATATCATACACTACACACACACACACACACATATATTATAATCAGGGAGAGAGAGAGACAGAATCTAATTCATAAACTTCCCTTTCTGGGCAACCAAATGGATCATCATACAGAACACATAAGAACATATACATAGAATATTAATATATATATATATACATGCATTTTTTTTAATCAAAAAACTTATTATATCTTGGTGACGATGCATAAGAACAACCAATTTATTTATTTATTTTTATCTTGTTAATCGGAGATCGAACAACCAAATTACTTACCGATAATGAAGAGGGATGCTTTCCAAGCACCGGTGGAAGCTCGAAGAGGAACTTGTCCTTTATGATCCAAAGAGGAATCATTAACCCATTTATCTTGATCTTCAAATTCCATTGATTCTACTTGGTGATGATCAAGAGAGAAAGAGACTGGGGCTTCAAGGATTTTAATATGCAGACTCAGATTGAGATATGGAGGTTGGTTGGTTTAGCCAAGCTTTGCAAAGACACTCTTATATAGTGGTGAGAATATAGGATTTGGATTTTCTTTTTTTATTATTACTTCTTTTTTTTTTTCTTTTTTTTTTTCACTGTGTTTGGGTATATGGGAATTCTCCATACTTAGGGAAGAAGAGAGATATCCGCCTATGATATGTGAGAAAAATAATTTTATGGAATATAATTGTAGAAGGGAAAAAAAAAAAAAAAAGTATTAATCATTCAAGTTTCCTCTCAATCAAGACGTCATTGCCAACAGATGGGAATCGCACCTTGCCTATTAGAGTTTGTTCCTGTGGGACCAAAACTCTCCAAAGGTCAGAAAAGCTGGGCCTTGCTTATACACACACACACGTATATGGCATCCACATTCCACTATATGCACATTTATACAGGAGAAGATCACTAAACTTATCGTTAAATTTATGGATCTCAATTTTTATTCTTTAATTATTTAACTAAAAATGATATTAATCAATAGATTCATTGACGTCCTGATATAGAAATCCAAGGTCCGATAATGGACACAATTTGGAGCATTTTTCTTAACTCGTTTAATTTTTTCTCAACGGTTGACTCTCCCAAAAGGGCGGTAGCAAATTCTATGCACAGACCGATCTCTGAAAGTCAGTATTCTTCTAAATCACGCTCGCTGAAGTGAGAGATCTAACTAAAGACATATAAAAGATAAAAAAACAGCACAAAACTCACACAAGGTTATAGCTCGGTGGGGGAACATGACTAAAAATAACAAAAACAACCTAAGCCCACACATATCTAATGATTTGTGGGGAAAAATAACACCAACACCGGTATAATGACTGCCTTTATTCCATGAACAACTTAAAAAAGAGAAACAAAAACTAACACAGATTCCACCATCATGTAGATCGGCTGACGCAGAGCGCGTGAGTATATTTTGGGGGCCGATTGACCGAAGACGCACTTCCAATTGTCAGCCAAACTATTCTCCTTCTTCCCCACTCTCCATGTGTTAATTAAGTATTAAGATTCTAAGAACTTCATAAAAGTGATATTATTTTTTTATTTGCCTATTTTTTAAAAAATTGAATATTGATAATGATAAAATGAATTCGAGTCTCATTACATAAAAATATTAATTATTATTAAAAATTATAGTAAATAGCAATTTTTAAATTAAAAAAATAAATAGTATATTTTAAAATATTTAAATTAAATAATTTATTAAATTTAGTTCTTTCAAATATTTTAAAAATCTATATTTACTTGAAGAGAATTTAAAAAAAAAATGGTATTTACACTCTTGTCCCTATGATACTAAATACCAACTTATAATAACTACATTGGTCTCCCTTCAGAAAAAAAAAAATTAAAAAACAAAAAACACTAGGTCATCTTACTAATTAGCATGTTTACCTTTTAAAATAGATCGCAAGTCTTTAAAACGCCCAAGTTAACTCCAAAAACAGCACCATACTATGAGGATGTGTAAATATAAAATAAACTCGAGTCTCATACAAATACACACTAAATTATAAGAATATCAAATCACTCCACTTAATAGGCTGATCTTTTAAGAAGGAAACTCGAGTTCTTAGATAGTTAAATTTTTATAAGACTAATCGTTTCAATTAGGCTAAATTGTTGTCATTATTATTATTGTTTTTTTTTTTTTTTTTAACTTTTCTACCTCTCAGGTTCAAAGTAAGTGAAGATTTAGAGACAACTTTTGCTAATTTTAGACGATCCTAAATACTTAAGATGAAATCCGACGACAACTACGATGATTTGTATTTGAATACCAAGATCTTATAATCTTGCTAATAAAAAAAATTATGAGAAAAATCTTTTGAATTAAAAAAAAATGAAAGAAAAAAGATCTTTTGAACCAACAAATCACAGAATCATAATCAAGATTATATGTTTTAGAATAGTTCTCTAATATTAGTAGGATATTATACCCTACGCAAAGTAGAATTATGATTGTTGATCTAAACTTTAAGTGAACTGAGCCATTTTTTTTTTTCAAACATCTGTTTGTAAGAAAATATATGGAACACATATTATATTTTCCTTTATTTCATTCAAGATTCGAGTTTAGAATTTGAGTTTTTCTACAGTAAAAAGCTCTCACAAACAATCACATCTAACTTTTTTGCTACAGTATAAAGCTCTCACATAAAATCACATCTCAACTCGAATTCTAAACTCGAATCAGCGAAGTGAACGACAGCGCGCCTGAATTAGATCCGTTCAAAATATTATTTCATCTTTTATTATTTTTATTACCCATATCTATTTATTATATAATTACACAATATGCAATTGAATTGGGTCATATGTACCACGTGCATATTATCTAGCCAGTACATAATTGTTTGGAATAACTATCTAATGGTACTGCAGATTTCTTCATGCATTAATTCAATTCACGTCAAAAACTTGTCCTTTTGAGCGCAATCTCTTTTTGAGGAGTTTTGGAGGCAGGACGAGATGGGGGATACTAAATAATAATGGTGGTATAGGATTGAAATTAATGGGAGGAGATGACTATTAATGTAATCTATATACTAATTAGAAAGTGTGTTCCTAGCTAGCTAATCAATATTCTCAAATATATATAGCGTCACTCGTTTTATCATTTTTTGTATTCACTGATGATATAAACTTTACTAATATGATATATCATTATTTTAACAGAAAATGAGATATTAAAATGCATGTATTAAACAATAATTATAGAAAACAACAAAAAAATAACCGAAAGAGTGATCACGCTAACATTTCTCCTTATACTTATTAAGCATTTAATAGTTAGGCTACCTCAGAACTCATGGGTCCCCTTGAGACTTTGTATTCACATTGTAGAAAATTTTCAGCACAAAAAAAAAAAAAAAAAAAAACCATGTTATATTATTCATGTTTTTCAACAATATCTCTTCCTAAATTAATCCTTACCCCACTTTATCCACTGTGGTTTGACGTAATGGTCATTGGCCATGTGATATCATTTGGTCAAAGTTTTCATCCCAAAAAGGCCATTATTTTCCTTAATTAATTGTAATTATTTTTAGTCTTATTCGCGCCAGTAGTCTCCAACCTTTTCGAGTCTCTATTGTAATGTTATGGGCAAATCTTTTCGTCTAATTTTTCTATTGAAGTTGTCACATGCCACTATCTTCAAGGAAATTGTGTCGAATAAAATGAAGGGTAGGACTGTCTTCACCACATGTTTTACTTTTTTCGCTCCTTCTTAATCCACCCATTAAAGGTATGCCAAATTAGAAGGAATGAAATTTTAGTCCATTCAGTTTACGAGTTGAGAACTCGAATTAAGAAGTAAATTTATGTAAGAAAAAATATTGTAATAAAAAAATTAAATTTAAATTTGTGTAAAAAAAAACACTGTAACTAAAAATTTAAATTGTGATTCGAATCGTAAAAAAAATGAGTTTTATGTTTTCGAAACTAATAATATAACAATTGTATAAAAACGATTTGTAAGACATATATACTAGTTTTCAACGAAATATAGGTGTACGATTTGATAAGTATAAAAACAGTAACAAAGACAAACAAATCGTATTCTATAATCATAAATAATAAGAGACTGTCTCCGGTAGGTAGTCTTATTAGTAAAATTAATTTTTTGACTGTTAGATCTAATTAAAATTAAATGAGATTAAAAAAGTATGCAGAACATATAGTTTATGATGTAGATATGACGGCTGAAAAAATAAAATTACCGGTAATTCTATTTTTCTAGTCCTACGGGAGAAACTCCCAAATAATAAACACATGGATTCGTGTATACGAAACAATAAAAAATAATAAGAAACAAGAATTTTAAAGAAGACAAAAACAAGGTTTTTTTTTTTCTTTTGAAAAGACTTTCACACTAAAATCCATCCCTATTCCAATATTCCTTTTGGCACAATAAATTTTAGGATTAATTTCAAAAATTCCCCATGAACTATGACCATTTTAACACTTTACCCCCTGAACTTTAAAAAGTAACATCTGTTCCCCCCAAACTTTGTTATGTTAACAAGTTTTTCCCTTCTGCTACAATAAGTGACGAAATTGCTACGTGTCACTTATTTAGTGAGAATTGAAAGCGTAATTACGCTTATACCCTCATAATCAAATAATTCTCCATTTTATTGAAAAAAAATCACCATCTTCGTTCCCCATTTTTCTTTTTTCTTCATTTTGTTCCCCATCTTTGTACAATCATAACTCATGGAGAGAGAGGGTCAATCCCCACTTGCACCCACCCATTGCCACCAAAAACCCAACTTTCTATTCATCCAAACACCCACTTTTAGAGAGAGAAGTAACATAAACTTTTAGAGAGAGAAAGAGGGTAAAAAATGGCCCAAGTGAGCAAACTATGCAACAATAGAGCTCAAAACACCGTCACTTTACCAAACATCTTGAACCCTCACAAACCAAGATCCTTCAGCTCTTCAATCTCGTTGAGATCAAAGTTTTAGGTTTCTTTGAGTTTGAAGCTTGAGAACAATCTCGTGGGTTGTTGTACGGCCGGTTTCAGAGCCATGGCCGGTCCGGTTATGGCTTCGGTTACGACGGCGGAGAAGCCATCAAAGGTTCCGGTGATTACGCTGTAGCCCATCAAATGGGTCATGTTCATTTACTGAGTTTTCTTTGTTTAATGCTTAAAAGGGTTGTTATAGGTTAATTTACAAAGTGCTTGACATATGGTGAATTCTGTCACTCATTGTAATAGAGGAAAAAACTTGTTAACGGAACAAAGTTCGAGAGTAACAGATGTTACTTTTTAAAATTTGAGGGGCAAAGTGTTAAAAGGGTTATAGTTCAGGAAATTTTTTTGAAATTAATCCTAATTTTAAAATGAAATTATCTTTTTTAAGATAGGGTGTGTAATGAGTATTTTTTTTAAAAAAATATTTTTATTCTTAAAGTAATTTTATTAATGGATAATTTAGTAATAAAAAATTTATTACATCAGTATATGAAAGGTAGAATAAAGAGTGTAGATAGATGCGGCATATTTTACAAATTAGCTTTTTGAACTAGTATGGTTTTAACAATATGTCCTCTTAATTTGTAAAATTGTTATAATATGTCACATTTTGATGATAATTGTGTTAAATTAGTATCTAAAAAGTACGTTTGACAAAAAATCTCAACATTCCGATTCAAATGTAACACAA